AATACATATTTCCAACACAAAATGAGGTTTATGTTCAGTTCTTTTTATTAATAATATTAGGGGTGTCAATTTTTATCACGATCCAAAACACGATCCGAACCTGATCCGGAAAAATCCGGTTTCGGGTCAACCCGAAACGGGTCGGGTTCAGGTTGAACAAATCAACCCATTTTAAAAATCAGGTCGGGTTCGGGTTGACCCAGCAACCCGAAATTGACCCAAAATTAACACGGAAACTCATATTTGACCTGAAAATCTGAGATTGACCCGTTTTTGACCCGATTTTGACCCGAAAATCTAATATTGACCCAATTTTGACACGAAAATTAGCAATTTTATGTCAATTTTGGGTCATTCGTGTCGGGTCGGGTTGACTCAGACCCGAATCGGGTCGGGTTCGGGTCCAGAAACCTGACCCGTTTTTAAAAACGGATCGGGTTCGGGTTGACCCGAACAGTGCCGGGTCAATTCCGGGTTCGACCCGAACCCGACCCGCTGACCCGAATTGACACCCCTAAATAATATCACTAAAGAATCTTATAATTCAAAAGAAGATTTTGATGGCATATCATTAAAATTTATTCATAAAGGACATTAAAAAGTAGTTTATAAGAATGAGATCGAAAACCATCCAAAGCTTGATTCTTCAAGAGGGGAATTTCAAACAGTTATATTTTGAATAACTCTCTTCACATTACTTATTTCAAAATTATATTTGTTACATGCCATATTCACTTCTAATTTTCACAAATTTATTTTCAATAAATACTTCTCTTAATATATATCCGTTAAACATTATCATTCCTTAATTTATTATTTCTATTTTTTTCTTACGTAATTACTTTAACATTTTTATTTGCTGCACTCAAATCCATATAATGCATGTGACATAGTTAAATAAATTGCCATAAAATAATAAAATACAGTTAAAAAACAAACCAAAATAATTAAATTTTATTCATAAAGGACATTAAAAAGTAGTTTATAAGAATGAGATCGAAAACCATCCAAAGCTTGATTCTTCAAGAGGGGAATTTCAAAAAGTTATATTTTGAATAACTCTCTTCACATTACTTATTTCAAAATTATATTTGTTACATGCCACATTCACTTCTAATTTTCACAAATTTATTTTCAATAAATACTTCTCTTAATATCCGTTAAATATGATCATTCCATAATTTATTATTTCTATTTTTTTTTACGTAATTACTTTAACATTTTTATTTGCTGCACTCAAATCCATATAATGCATGTGACATAGTTAAATAAATTGCCATAAAATAATAAAATACAGTTAAAAAAACAAACCAAAATAGTTAAAATAAAATATCTACAACAATAATTAATGCTGATTATAATATGGTAACAAATCTTATTACAAAGATAAAATTTAATTTTTTTTGTTTGAGAAGGCACAACAATGAAAGAACACATGCCATGGATTCGAGGAAATATTTACATCTTTTACAAGATTACAAGAAATTGAATAATGTCATTGGTAATTCATAATCTAATAATATTCTATTTTCTTCATGTTCTTAAATAGGTGTTGCAGAACGGGCATCTACAACAACAGCGACCAAATAATAATTTCTCATCTACTGTGTGCAATGACACAACCCCACTGGTACCTAACATCTCCATTCCCCAAACATCAAAACTCAAGGGCGTACGTATCTCTGCTCAGGAGAAAAAAGAAAAGATCGAAAGATACAAAAATAAGAAAAAAAGAAGAGATTTTAGCAAGAAAATCAAGGTACATTACTACTCTACCAGCATAAATCTATGGCCATCTCTAACCTTACCTTGTAATTTAATTTCTAACATAGAGCCTTCTATAAAAAGAAAATTTTGTGTAACCTTACATTCAATCCTTTTGTAGTATGCAAGCCGGAAAACACTTGCAGACAGCAGACCTCGAGTTAAAGGAAGGTTTGCGAAGACTGGCAAGTCAGAACAGATGGCAAGAGCTTCCACTAGCAATCAGGATTGCAATAATGTTGAGGTGAATATTATTTTAAATTTATTTTATTGCATAATTCTATGAAAATAATATTATTATTATTGAATAATGTTATAAATAGAGACTTTTATAATTATATTTTTTCATATGAATAAAAGTTTTTTTTTTCATAAGAAAATTAACCATGATACATCCTTCCACTTGCAGGCTGCGATTAACAATGGCGATAACAATGGCGATTTGTTCGAGTCCTTTAATTTTCTTGATCGATCTAATTACAATAACATCTTGGAGCCAGGATGTGACCCTTTACCATTCTATTTTTCGATGGTTAACTCATTAAAGATAAGGCTTAATTTGGTACATCTTTTGACTCTTTCCATTGCTTAAAAAAATTTAAAAATATTATCCCAAAACCTATACTTTTTGTAAAAAAAAAAATCATTATTATTTACATCTGCAATCTGTTTTTCTTCATTTTATGAAAAAAAAAGCTAAAAATTAAATGCAAAAATTTAACGACTCCAATACAACGAAAAAAATTCAATTAAAAAAATTTATAATAGCAATCTTCCAATATTCAAAATAAAAGCTCGGCTTATAAAAAAAAGTTTGAATATCTAAAAAATTAATTTCTTAAATTAACATAGAAATATCTTCTACGAATGTAAAAATTAAATAATAGAGACTAAATTAAAATAAAGCAACAATGAATAATACATCAAATTGAAGATTTTCATTTAATTTTTTATTTATTTTCTTAATTCATTTTGTCCTAAGACTTCGTTTGGTACAACTTTTGGCCACAATCTTTCAACCATTTTAAAAAAAAAAATTATAATGAAAAGCTACTATAGAAAGCAAAAGAAAACTATCACAAACGAAACCTAAAACAACTTATATTATAAATTAGGTTTTAAATTGTTTCTTTTCATATTATATAATCATATAATTATTCTTTAATGAAAAATAACATTTAGGATTAATATAACAATAGCTGCATCACATATTGCATATTACCTATAAAATCAATATCAATTATCAACACCAATGATGATGACCACCAATTTCATTACTTGACAATGCTAGTAACTTCAATACATACCATCAATAATAAGCCTTCTTGCATCCATGAATATTCACGGCGGTAGATAAATATATAGTTCTTAGCATTGTACGAAGATCCAGCACCAGCACGCAAGCAGATGAAAGAGATAGTGTAGCGCTCATAAGAGACACCATAGTTTTTACGTGGAAACCCCTAAAAGGGAGAAAACTACGGGGTTTGGCCCAGTTTGAATCTACTAGTATTTGCAAACGATTACAAATGAAGCCCTTCCTTGGGAGAAGGCCTTAGCTTGATTTCACAAATGTACATCATATATAGCACATTATATGGTGGAAGTTACATTAATCAACATATACATGTTTGTTTAGTCGGCATGACCATAATTGATATGATAAAGGTCCGGAAGATCGTAGTAGGCGACAGAGGTTGGAAGGATCGTAGTCGGTAGGAGATATGGGTCAGAAAGATCATTGTCTGACGAGGGAGGTCGGAAGGACCGTAGTCGGCATAAGACCGGGGTCAAAAAGATCATTGTTTAGCGAGGGAGGTTGGAAGGAATGTACTTGGTAGCCCGGTGGAGGACCAAATATGATTGTTCACTAGAGGATGACCAACGAGGGTCAGGGTCGGGTGGTGGTCCGACGAAGGTTGGGATAAAGTCCGACGATAGTCGTTGGCCAGGCGATGGTCTAATGAAGGTCGAGCTAAAGTCCCGCTACAGTCGACGGTCAGGAAGATGTGCGGCAACGGTCGATGGCCGGGTGGAAGTCTAGCGACGGTCAGCATCAGGGTGGAAGTCTGACTATGGTCGCCGGTCGGGCGGTGGTTCGATGAGGGTCGGGCTAAAGTCCGAAGGCGGTCGTTGGTCAGGAGAAGGTCCAGCGGCGGTCTGCTATCGGGCGTGGTCTAACGATGGTCGGGCTGAAGTTTAACGGCGGTCGGCTGCCAGACAAATGTCCGGTGGCAGTCGGTGGCAGGG